TAGAAAATAATATAAAAATAGAAATATTAAATAAAATAGTTTTGAAAATATGTAACATAAATATAAACAAATATACAAATGGAAAAAAAAAGAAAATTATTTTTTAAAAATATGGAATACTTTGAAGAATTTAAGTGTTTGTGACCCAATTAATTTATTATCATGACCCATTATCACGAGCGGATCACTGGAAAACTGCCCTGGAAGACACACTTTCTTCCTCCAACAGACTCTCCTGATGCTCTCAGCTCTGAAATCCTCTGACTCTTCAAACAGAGGTCTTAGGGCCCAGGTTTTTTGGTTCAGAGGAAAGCAAATTTTGGTCCCCATCCACTAGCCACCTAAAATGCAAAGTGTATTTTAACCTCATTTGTTTGTCCAGTAATAGAAAGTCTGGCCCTAAAAACATAATTATTTGTATCTTAGCAGAATGCACTTAATTTTTTTGACATTTGAAAAAATAATTTTGAATACCCCATCCTTTACATAACAACATTATTTTCAAAAACAACTATGAAGTTAATGTTAATAATGGATAGAAATTCATGCATTGAATTTTTTCATTTTTACATTTATGAAGAATTTTTTTTAATATTTATTTTTTTTTTTTTAGTTCTCGGCAGACACAACATCTTTGTTGGTATGTGGTGCTGAGGATCGAACCCGGGCTGCACGCATGCCAGGCGAGCGCGCTACCGCTTGAGCCACATCCCCAGCCCCATTTATGAAGAATTTTTATTGTGGAAAGACATATGTAACATAAAATTTATCATCTTCACCATTTTTCAGTGTATAGTTCTATAGTATTGTATATACTCACATTGTAGAATCTTTGTGTTTGTTTGTTTGTTTGTTTGGTAGCAGGAGTTGAATCCAGGGATGCTTAACCACTGAGCCACATCCCCAGCCCTTTTTATTTTTTATTTTAAGACAGTCTCTCACTAAATGGCGTAGGGCCTGGCTAAGTTGCTGAGGCTGGTTTTGAACTCTCAATTCTCCTGCCTCAGCCTCCCTGGGATTACAGGTGTGGTTCTAGATTTTATTCATCTTGCAAAACTGAAACACTATTCCTATTAACAACTCTCCGTTTCCTGCAGTTGTTGATTTTCCTTTATTCAGCTTTAACTTATTAAACTGAAGTAACATTTCTACCTCTTTACATACCAGACTGAAAGCCAGAGGTCAAAAAAGTGTCTTGTATCCTGGTGAGGTGGCTTAGGAGGCTGAGGCAAGAGAATCGCAAATTCATCCTCAGCAAATTAGTAAATTGCCCTGTCTTGAATGAAAAACAAAAAGGGCTGGGGTTGTAGCTCAGTGGTAAAGCACACCTGGGTTCAAAAATCTTGAGTACCAAGAATAAAGATAAAAAATGTGTCTTAAAGATAGAAATCAGGAAACTGGAATTGTGGCTTGGTGGTTGATCACTCGCCTAGTACATTTGAGGACCTGGGTTCGATCCTCAGCACCACATAAAAATAAATAAAATAAAAGTATTGTGTCCAACTGCAACTAAAAAATAAATATTGGGGCTGGGGATGTGGCTCAGTTGTAGAGCACTTGCCTGGTATGTGTGAAGCACAGGGTTCGATTCTCAGCACCACATATAAATAAATAAAGATCCATTGACAACTAAAAAATGTTTAAAAAATAAAATAAAAAATAAATATTAAAAAAAATAGAAATCAGGGCTGGGATTGTGGCTCAGTGGTAGAGCATTTGCCTAGCATGTGTGAGGCACTGGGTTCAAGTCTCAGCACCACATATAAATAAATAAAATAAGGATCCATCGACAACTAAAAAGCAGTTTTTAAAAAAATATATAGAAATCAGCTGTGTGCAGTGCACATCTGTAGACCCAGTTACTCAGGAAGCTGAAACACGATTGTGAACTTAAGGCCAGCCTGGGCAAGAAGGCAAGACCCCCATCTCAAAGTACAAAAACAAAATAGAAATCAGTAAAAAATCAGTAAAAATGATTTTAACATTTATATGGGAATGTAAATGATTTCAAAGGAGAACAAAATTGGAGGATTTATTATACTACCTGATTTTGTGGGGGCTAAGGGGTACTTGAGATTGAACCAGGAGTGCTACATCCCCAGACCCTTTTTTAAAAATATTGAGACAGGGTCTAGATAAATTGCTGGGTCTGGCTGCAAATTTATGATCTTTCTGCTTCAGCCTCCAAAGCTGCTGGGCTTGCAGGTGTGTGCCACTGTTCCGAGCACATACTACCTGATTTTAACACTTATGAGGACACAGTAATCAAGAAAATTTATTTTTTTTCCAGTGCTAAGGATATAACCCAGGGCCTTGTAATGCTAGGCAAGCAGTCTACAACAGAGATACAGCCCCTTGCCCCAGGAACCTCAACCTTTTATCTCACACCATAAACAAAAATTTTCTCAAAATGAATCAACAATCTTAAGTGTAAGTGAATCGTGACATCCCGTGCAAAAGCTAAAATCATAAGATCCCTAAAAAAACTTGGGTGAAAAACCTTTGRGGCTTAAATAACAATGATTTTGTAAATAGGGACACAAAAATCATGAATCAAAAAAAAGCAAAATTAATAAGCTGGATGTTTTAGTCGGCTTTGCGTCACTGTGACCAACAGACCTGACAAGAACAATATAAAGGAGAAAAAGCTTATTTGGGCTCATATTTCAGAGTTTCAGTTCTGAAAATATGAGCCATAGCTCTGGGCCTGAGGATGGCAGAAGGATGTGGCAGAGGAAAGCAGCTCAGCACATGGCAACCTGGAGGCAGAGAGAGCTCTGTTCACCAGGGACAAAATATAAAACCCAAAGATACATCCCTAGTGACCTACCTCCTCTCGCCATCCCCTACCTGTTTATAGTTACTGTCCTGTTCATCACTGTCAGTGGATTAATCTACTGATTAGGTTACGACTCTTACATTATCTAGCACGGGAGCTTTTGGGGACACCTCATATCTAAACCATGACACTGAACTTCATGAAAATGAAAATATCTTGCTCTTGAGAAGATGTAAGAAGATGCACATCAAACCATGTTTTCTATGTTCCATATTTTATGATGTCATAATTTTGGGAGTCTTTATTCAATTTATATGAATTTATAAAAGAGATTAGACTAATTTATGATGAAAAAATCAGAATAATGATTGCCTCTGAAGATGTGGTAGAGATGGAATTTGGGAAGGGGTGTGAGATACTTTTTAAGGAGAGGGCAGAGTTCTATCTCATGACAGGTTTTTGAAGTGTAAGCCTTTCAAAACTCATTAAAGAGTATAGTTAAGATCTGCAAGCTACATCTCCAGACCTTCAATGTATGTATTTTTTTCTAAAACAAAAACAAAAACAAAACAGTATTGAATTCTACTTAATGACACAGATGTAGAATGTATTCATGTCGAAGCTGGGTGTGGTGTCATTGTAGGCACCCAGGAGGCTGAGGCAGATGATAGGCAGGAGGATCTCAAGTTTGAGGCCAGCCTTGGCAACTTAGTGAGACCCTGTATCAAAAATTAAAAAATAAAAAGGGCTGGGATATATCTCAGTGGTAAAGCACCCCTGGATTTTATCCCTAGTACAAAAAATAAATAAATTAAAGAATGTATTGATGTCCATAACTTATGTTGAATAAACAAAAATAAGTAAAAAGGATTGATGAATAGATAGAGGGATGGATAATTAGATTGGCATATGATAAAGTAACCATAGCCAAATATTAATTGTAGGATCTATGTGGTGGTTATGAAATACTTTTGTATAGCTTTTAAAAATTTCTGTTATGTTTGAAATTTTTCATAGTAAAATGTTAGGGAAAATATTTATGGGTTTCCAACCCAACCCCATTCTCATGCCTCAGTCCCAATCATCTAGCTTCCATTTTTGCTTCTCTCCACCTGGTGATCGGAATTTTCTTCCCCCTTTCCTATCTGTCCAATAATGCTGTTTCTAATTCAGGATCTTTGTCTTCATCCTAAAGCAGCGAGGTGTGTATGTGTGAATAGACAGCAGTGGTGGGGGGCGCAGATGGTGATCTGACTTATTTGGCTCAGGGAGGGACATGGGGAGAGCAACGATAGGCCAAGCACTGGGCGTCTGGGTCTCTGCTTTTCAGCACACATTTTAAAATATCTAAGGGACAAGAAAGAGAAAGGGAGTCGATTTCTACAGTTTTTGGAAAGATGAAAGGCCAGGACCACACCAAGAAGTAGAAATATGTTTRTTATCTTAAAATATCACTTTGAACATGCTTTTGGTATTGCCATTGCTCCCAATTGCCCCTAGAACAAAATACAAATGCCTCATCATGGCATACAAGTCTTTCTATGGCGTCTCTCCTTTGTACCCTCACAGCACACCTGCTCTTTCTGTTTCTTCAGTCACTCGTACTCTGTCTCATACTGTGGCTCATTTCCTCTATTATGCAAGCCTTCTTACCTTCCGCCACCTCCAGCCAGACCCCCTGTTCTCATCTTACTATACTTTAAGACTTGATTATGTGCTGTCTCCTGCCTGAAAACTTCTTCCCTGGATGAGTCTAGTGCGTGTCACTCTTTTTTTTTTTAAATATTATTTTTTAGTTGTCAGTGAATCTTTATTTTATTTATTTATATGTGGTGCTGAGAATCGAACCCAGTGCTTCACCCATGCTTCATTCTTACCTGGAGCAATTGGAGAGAACTTACCCTCAGCACCATTCTTTTTGGCACTTACCCCTACCATCTTTTGCTATTTAATTCCAAGTCACCTTCTTAGCTTTCACCAGCATCAACTGGAAGAAACTTTGAGAAGGACAGAGTCCCACTTGAACAGAGTCTAGAGCTCTAGTTCAAGAGTGCAGACACCTGGGTTCTCCTTAGGTTTTTCTTATAAATAGCCAATGGCTTTGAGCAAGTTTTTATTTGGCTTGGACCATCATTATCTCATCTCTAAGAAGAGGGGCATTAGCTGGATAATTGCTCCAGTCCTCCAATGTGATTGTTTCTGGTTCTGTTTTGTTTTATAGAATGAAGGATAATTTTACAGAAAGAAGAAGACAATATTGCAATCATCTTTGACAGGTCCATTTGGAAATAATATCTTCTACTAAATATAGAAAGGTAGAACACTTTTATTCAGAACAAGTAAGTATATTACAAATTACATCTGCCTAGTTGTATAGTTGTGGAGATCAATTCATGCCTTCATCTGACTTGTTAGAGGTAGAATTCTTAACAAATTAAGAACAATAGTTCTGTTGTTTGGGCACATTCATTTATGGATATGGCAGCCTGTGAATAAAAGGTCAAACCACAGATAGGACAGAACAAAGAGCGACTGTTGGTTCTCTGTCATCACCTATTCACTCTTACTCTTCCATCCAGATAGCAGAGCTACATGCATTAAGATCATTGGGAAGAAACAGTGTAGAGCCAAGTGGTACTCAAAATTAGCTCTTTCCATTCTGATGAGAGTATGCTATCCAATGTCAGAGCCACTAGCCACATATGGCTACATGACTGTGAATTTAATTAAGTTAAAATTTAATTTTATGTCAAAATTCAATTGGATAGTCACTCTAGCCAATTTTCTAGTGTGCCTAATGGCTACCATACTAGACAGTGCAAATGGAGAACATGGTCATCATCTCAGAAAGTTCTGCTGTAAAGTGCTGGTCTAGACAAAGAGATACTCTGAAAAAAAATGAAGAATGAATGAATGAGCAAGCTTGTTTTCACTTAACTATTTTGTTAAAGAAGTGTATGATGGTCCACACTTATGGAGATATATCATGACAGTTAACAAAAACTATGTTTCTTACAGTTATATAGCGGCTAGTGGCAACTATATCATGTAGATATATAGTCAAAGGTTAAATAGGATGGAGATATACCATGATTAGTAATAAGAATATCAGTTATACGCAGGATATTTATAATGTATAGTATGTAAGGTATACTTTTTAAATTTTAAAACATTTGTATATATATGGCTTTACTAAATATCACTAATCTTTAACATACTCTGAGAAAGTGTCAGTGTCTTCATTTTACAGTTGAAGACATGGCCTCTGAAAGGCTCTCTTGTGAACATGCATCAATCTCCAGAACTTTCTGAAGCTACATGTTCTTCAGCTGTAAAATTAAGGTCACATGAGACAAAGTCATAGAGGTTATTCCAGAAGGAGGGTGCAGGAGCCAAGAGCACAGTTGAGACTCCAGAGGACAGGGACAGGACTCTTCTATAGGACTGGTAGACAGGGTTGGACAACATCCCAGCTGAAGTTAGCTGTAGAGATCTGCGATGTGGAGAAAGGGAAGGTGACATGGGATCCTGGCATTGGAGAGCTCGAGAGTGCATTTCAGACCAGAGAGGACGTAGGGGTTTTAGGAGAAGCATCTTTACTCATTGATCAATCAAGAAGGGTTTGAAAACCAGGAGCAACCTAGGCCAGGAAGAAAACTAGCAGACCCTGAGAGTGAAAAACCAGGAAGATATTTCTCAGAGCTGTTATGGATRCAGTGTGGTATAGTGCCTTTGAGAGACCTTGCAAAGCTGGGTGCAAAAATGATAGAGCTTTCCCAGAAACCAAGAGAAACTAGAGATTGGATTTAGTCCAATGTTTTGCAGTGATACTCTTCATAAATGACCAAAGTCTGAGAGATAAAAAAGGCTGTTTCTTTGGTGACAGCAGGATAATGACTAAAAATTATAGCTAACATGTCTCAAGCTATTACTTTATCTGGGATACTGTACATGAACTCTCAAAACAACTTCATAAGTTAAATATTGTTCTCAACCCCTTGGTACAGATGAGGAATCAATATAGTATGCTAGAACTGGTTCTGTTTTTATACTCTGATTGTTGAATTTTTAGGATTTTTGGCATGTGACGTGTTGTTAGCTTGAAATTGACCATGGTGGAAATACTGAATCAGCTATGGGGATTGGTAAATGCTATATATTCTCTATCTCCAGAGAGCCAATTTGTTATACATTTAGCAACACATCATTTAACAGGGTCAAAGAGGTTTAGCAACTTGTCAAGTTTACATGGTAGCAATTGTCAGAGTCTAGGTTAATTCATTACTCTAAAACCTATAGTTTTACCACTCTGACATCATTGGGGACAGTTTTTTAAAAAACATTTTTAATTGTAGATGGACACAATACCCTTATTTTATTTATTTATTCATATGTGGTGCTAAAGATTGAACCCAGTATCTCACACATGCTAGGTGAGTGCTCTCCACTGAGTGACAACCCCAGCCCACTGGGGACACTTTTATATCGAGGACAAGATTACTCACCTTACTTCATCACCAATACAAAACCATCGTACTCACCAAGGACTCTGGAGTCAGGGATAAGGAATTTTGCACAGCATTTATTGAGGGCCTGGAATTCAGGCACTTGACATTTCCATAATTCAAGATGTGCACAGTGGGAAGCAGGTGGGGAATGAGCAGTACTGAGCTCTGACATCAGATGCTGATATGCATATTTTATATAAATTAATATGTATATTCCCCTTGTCTCCTCAGTGAATTTTATAAAGGAAAATAGTCAAGACCTCATTCAAAGGATGGGCATAACTGTTACCAAGCAAATTGTGGATGATCTGTTTGGGTGGAATGTTCTGAATAGTGAAGAAGTAAGCATGATTTATTGTGAGAAGGTGGAGCAGGATGCTGCACGAGGGATCATTCACATGATTTTGAAAAAGGGCTCAGAGGCCTGCAACCTCTTTCTTAAATGTCTTGAAAAATGGAACTATCCTCTGTATCAGGACTTGAATGGACAAAGTAAGTATCAGTTGCTTGCATCTATTTCTACAACTAGAATGGACCATGAGGAGGATCCCTGTTTCCTAGCAGTGAGCTCTGGTTCATGCTAAGGAAAAGCTCTCATTTGATCACTTAAGATTACATGAGACACAGTTGTAGAGGATATCCCCATAAGGAGGATGCAGGAGCCAAAATATGGAGACTGGAGGATATGGAAAATGACGACCTTCAAGACTGAGAGACCTGGGAGGAGAGAGGGAGGAAGAGGACAAATATTGATCCTTTCCCAATAAATTCTTTCCCAGTGACAATAAACCTCAAAGGAAGTAACCAAACATTAATTCTTTCCCAGTGACAACACAATGACCCCCCAGAGGAAGCAGATGAACTCTGGACCCTCCATCCTTGCCCAGTAAAAATAAGCCTCTAATTTTTACAAGCTCTTTCCTGAATGCCCAAACTGACACATTCTGTTGAAGAGATTACGTCATCTCTCAGGGTAACATGTAAAAACCCAGATCCCTTCTGTAAAAAGGGGCCATTTTCTACTCAGAAAGCGAGCCCCTCTGATGCCTGACTCCGCTGGTAAATAAAAGGCACTGCTGATCCGTGAAGTCTGCTCTCATCCTGGTTACTTATTACAGTGCCAAAACTCTTTTGGTTATTTTGCTTATAGAAGCCAAATAAGTAACCCGAAAGCCAGGAAATAAATGACTTCTTATCATTTCAAAGCATACACTCATCAATTCCTTGATCTACCTGTGGATGAGCAGCCCAGCTGACTACCTTCTCTATGACCTCAGCACCAGGGCAAAGACAGTCCAACTGACCGAGGGAGGACGACTCTGCTTTACATGAAACAGTAATTTTAATTCCTGTAAATGAGCAGCTTATGTCATGACAGGTTTTAATCAAAGTGAAGGCTGTTYAACTGGAAGTTGCCCCTAACCATCACCCTCAGCCAAATCCTCCACTTCCCTTAATCCAAACACAGGCTCCAGCCATTTCAAATCAGCAGCTGCATGGATTGGTAGCAGAAAGAAAGAAATGGAAGGCAAAAGGGGGAGGAGGGAAGAGGTGCCAGGGGAAAGCAGCAGGAGATGTGGAACGCTTTGTGCAGGCTCAGAACTGGAGAAGGACATGAAAGCCACCTATGACATCACTCAGCTTTACCCCCCCCTTCCTTCTCCTCACCTCCAGGGATTGAGGGCACACAGAATGGTGGCCTCTCTAACATCACCTCTTTTCTAACAGGTCTTTTTCATCAGCTATCAGAAGGAGACTTAGATGATTTGGCTCAGGATTTAAAAGATTTATACCRTACCCCCTCTTTTCTGAACTTCCATCCCCTGGGTGAAGATATTGATATTATTTTTAATTTGAAAAGGACMTTCACAGAGCCTATCCTTTGGAGGAAGGACCAACACCATCACCGTGTGGAGCAGCTGACCCTGAGTGGTCTGCTGGAGACTCTTCAGAGCCCCTGCATCATTGAAGGGGAATCGGGCAAAGGCAAGTCCACCCTGCTACAGAGAATCGCCATGCTCTGGGCCTCTGGGAAGTGTGGGGCCCTGACCAAGTTCAAATTTGTCTTCTTTCTTCGTCTAAGCAGAGCCCAGGGTGGACTGTTTGAAACCCTGTGTGATCAGCTCGTGGATGTACCTGACACCATCAGGAAGCGCACCTTCATGGCTATGCTGCTGAAGCTAAGGCAGGGGGCTCTTTTTCTCCTTGATGGCTACAATGAATTCAAGCCTGAGAACTGCCCAGAAATAGAAGCCCTGATAAAGGAAAACCACCGCTTCAAGAACATGGTCATAGTCACCACCACCACCGAGTGCCTGAGGCACATCAGGCAGTTTGGTGCCCTGACTGTCGAGGTGGGGGATATGACCGAGGACAGTGCCCGGGTTCTCATCCGAGAAGTGCTGATTAAGGAGCTTGCTGAAGGCTTGCTGCTCCAGATTCAGAAATCCAGGTGCTTGAGGAATCTGATGAAGACCCCTCTCTTCGTGGTCATCACTTGTGCAATCCAGATGGGTGAGAGTGAGTTCCACTCTCACACACAAACCACACTGTTCTGTACCTTCTATGATCTGCTGATACATAAAAACAGGCACAAACATAAAGGTGCAGCTGCAAGTCATTTAACCCGGAGCCTAGAGCACTGTGGAGACCTGGCTCTGGAGGGGGTGTTCTCCCACAAATTTGACTTTGAGCTGGAGGATGTGTCCAGCGTGAATGAGGACGTCCTGCTGACCACTGGACTCCTCTGTAAATACACAGCTCAAAGGTTCAAGCCCAAGTATAAATTCTTCCATAAGTCCTTCCAGGAGTACGTAGCGGGACGCAGGCTCAGCAGTTTATTGATGTCTCCCAAGCCAGAGGAAGTCACCAAGGGGAAGAGTCACTTGCAGAAAATGGTTTCCATTTCAGACATTACCTCCCTGTATAGCAACCTGCTCCTGTATACATGTGGGTCCTCTGCCGAAGCCACCAGAGCTGTCATGAGGCACCTTGCTGCTGTGTATCAACATGGCAGCCTGATAGGGCTTTCCATCACCAAGAGGCCTCTCTGGAGACAGGAATCTATGCAAAGTTTGAAGAACACCACTGAGCAAGAAATTCTGAAAGCCATCAACATCAATTCCTTTGCAGAGTGTGGCATCAATTTATTCCATGAGAGTATATCTAAATCGGCCCTGAGCCAAGAATTCGAAGCTTTCTTCCGTGGTAAAAGTTTGTATATCAATTCAGACAATATCCCTGACTACCTATTTGACTTCTTTGAACACTTGCCTAATTGTGCAAGTGCTCTGGACTTCATCAAACTGGATTTCTATGGAGGCGCCTCAGGTTCACAGGACAAGGCTACAAAAGATGGAACGAGAATCCCCACAGAAGAGTCCTCGGAAACCTACATTCCCAACCGGGCTGTGTCTTTGTTCTTCAACTGGAAACAGGAATTCAAGACTCTGGAGGTCACACTCCGGGATTTCAGCAGGTTGAATAAACAAGATATCAAATACCTAGGCAAGATATTCAGCTCCACAGCAAGCCTCAGACTGTCTGTTAAGAGATGTGCCGGTGTGGCTGGAAGCCTCAGTTCAATCCTCAGCACCTGCAAGAATATTCATTCCCTCATGGTAGAAGCCAGTCCCCTCACCATAGAAGACGAACAGCACATCACATCTGTGACAAACCTGACAACTTTGAGTATTCATGACCTGCGGACTCAACAGCTGCCAGGTATTGCATACATGAGCAGTTTAAGCTATAACTAAGTCTGGCTGGGTACTCTGGAGATATTCGATATCATGTAGTTTTATTTTCAGCTCTCCAATAGTTTCTAGCAGATGTTAGGACTTAGAATGGAGGTGAGACGGCTGGGGAGAGAGGTCTATGTAGAGGGAGGAGTGTCAGGGAAGATTTCTAGAGCTGAGAAGTTTTATATATATCATAAAAAATTATATATTCTAAAATATATTTTTATCTAGTATATATTGTTATAATAAGATATACTAATTATTAAGTATATACATATTTTTATTATTTAAAATATATGTAAAATTTACAATGTAGGCAAAGCTTGTCTTCGGCAAACCCTTCCCCCCATCAGCATCTCCATCTCTACCCAACACCCACTGTTTCCCTGCCAAGTGGCATCCTGTTCTGGGAGAAAATCCAGCCTGTAAGTTAATCACCTTGTAGAAACTAATGACTAATTGTGTTACTAGATTTTCATCTGGGAAAGTGCAAAGTATATCTTGCCCCATTGTTACTGCAAGTATTGTTTATTTAGAAAAAAAAAGATTTTAGGAGTGGATACTGGCTAACATGAAGAAATTTCAGACTACAGGTACACACATGTGGGGGCAAGGTTTCTGGGTAAAGGGGAATCTTCTTCAAATTCCAAATAATAYTAGAGATGAGCATTTTCCCTGCCTGTGTAGAGCAACCCAGTTAACAGAGCAGGGCTGCTAGGGGTGGAGATGCGGCCAGCAGGAACCTTGTTCTGTTCACTGTTTGTTTTCAGTCATAAGTGAGTTCCTGGCCAGTTCTACTTCATTTGCTACCCAAAGAGGAATTCTCTATGATGTGTAGAATCTAGAATTATTTTGTCCAGATCATCTTTGCAACCTCCTACTCAATGCAGGAATCTCTTCTGTAGGATTCTGGATGTCACCTAGACTTTATCGTCTGACCTTTCATGCCAGGAAATGACCATCTGCTCTTGGCAGTTATTCTTTTACAGTTGTCTTGCAAAGTTGTCACTTTTGTGCTGAATTTGGCCTACAGGGTGTTTAGAATTTATATATATATATATATATATATATATGTGTGTGTGTGTGTGTGTGTGTGTGTGTGTATGTGTGTGTGTGTACGTGTGCATGTGTGTACATATATTATTAGCACATAATATATTACATATACACATAATTGTATATGCTTATGGGGTATACAATAATTAGATTTTTAAAATGTTTGCCAATATTTTGCTCTCAATTCGTAAAATTTAATTCATTTTAAGAGTAACATGTTCACTTGGTCCAAGGTTTAAAAGGACCTAAAATGAAAAGTCTCCTCCTGCCCATGTCTTCTAGTCATGACCACCCTCCCTGGAGGAGCTACCAGCCTTTTGAAATTGGGAGATATCACACGAAAATATAGATTTCTCATTTCTCTTCAAATTTGTTAGATTTGGCCACTGTATGCTCATATCCTTATTGGGAACAATTGGCCAAATCCACATATCCACTTCTGTGTTCCTTGGGCAAGACATGGGTACAGACTCCACCTGTCCTACTTTTTATAATAACATTACCTTCCTGCCCCTTTTTAAAAATTTTRCTTGTAGTTTATGCAATAAGGTTTTCAGATATATCTTTAAACTGTGTATATAATTCCTAGATCAAAAGGGCTAGTTTGAGAATGAAATGTCATATACCACTCATAATATGCAAGGTCCCTTTGCAAAAACAGATGTAGATTGAAGAAAGGCTAATTACCAGGAAAGGAAGGTATCCTCCTAGGAACTACATAAGGTTTCCAAGGTTCCTCTTCAACTTTAAGAACTGCCCTTGAATAGCATTTTTCTTAAAATTTCATGTGTTTTATTTATCAATAATAAATCACAAACCTTAAAAATTCACAATTTAGTGTTGGGGATATAGCCCAATGTTGGAATGGTTAACTAATATCCACAAGCCCCATGGACCTTGTTTGATTGCCCTAGCACTGAAAAAAAATTACAATTTTTATTTAATATCAAAATTTTTTTCCAAGAAAAATTTCAACTATTGTACTTGTAAATGGAAATTCAAACCAAAATATGTACTCTATCTAATGGTTCATTGAAGAATACAAAAAGCAATAGACATAGGTGCAGATGTGCATGCCTATAATTCCAGAGACTCAGGAAGCTGAGACAGGAGGATTACAACTTCAAGGTCAGCCTCAGCAATTTAGTGAGGCCCTAAGCARCTTAGTAAGACTCTATCTTAAAATAAAAACAAACAGGGGCTGGGGATGTGGCTCAAGCGGTAGCGTGCTTGCCTGGCATGCGTGCGGCCCTGCATTCCTTGTATGAAGCTTGCTTGGTAGTAGTGTAATAATATTCTTTCCATGTATTGATTGAATTCCACTTGCTATTTCATTAAGGATTTTTTTAAAAAAATTGTTGTAGTTGTAGATGGACAGAATGCCTTTATTTTATTTGTTTATTTTTATGTGGTGCTAAGGATCAAACCCAGTGCCTCATGCATGCTAGGCAAGTGCTCTGCCACTGAGCTATATCCCCAGCCCTCATTGAGGATTTAAAAAAATATTTTTAGTTGTAAATGAACATAATATCTTTATTTTATTTATTTTTATTTGGTGCTGAAGATTAAACCCAGTGCTTCACATATGCTAGGCAAGCACTCTACCACTGAGCTACAATCCAAGCCCCCTCCTTGAGGATTTTTGCTTCTGTGTTCTTGAGTGATATTAAAGTTTTATTTTCTCGTACTGTCTTTCTCTRGGTTTCATACTAAGTTAATGATGGCTTCATAAAATGATTTGGGAAACTACTCCAAAAGCTGAGGCAGGAGGATTCCAAATTTGAAACTAGCTTTCATAACATGTCTAAAAAAAAAAAAAAAAGGTTGGAAATATAGCTCAGTGCTCTAGCACCCTCCCCACGAGATCTCGGAAGTCTTTCCTATTTTCTGGAACTGATTGTGAACTTGGTGCTATGTCTTATTTGAAAGTTTGGTAGAATTTGCAAGTGGAAGTATCTGTTTCTACAGATTCTTTCTTTTCCTGTTTTTTTTTTTTTTTTTGTAGTGCTGAGGATTGAAGCCAAAAGGTATATGCTATATTGCTGAGCTATATCCTCAGCCACAGATTTCTTCTTTTCTTCTTCTTTTTAAATTTAAAATCACAAATTCTTTAATAGTTTTTGTCAGACTCTTAAGATTACTACTTCCATATTAGGTGAGTTTTGGTAGTTTATGGTTTTCATGGAACTGGACAATTTCGTATATGTTATCCAATTCRTATGTGTAAGTTTGCTCATATTCTATAACATCTGTAGTGTCTGAGATGATATACCCTTTTTCATTTCTGATATTGGTAATTTATGTCTCCTTTTATATTTTTCAGTTTTGCTAAAAATTTATAAATTTTATTGACCTTTTTAAAGATCCAGCTTCATTGATTGCTTTATATTTTTTGTGATTTTATTGATATCTACTCTTATTTCCATTTTTGCTCTCTTTTCTGTAGTCTCTTAAGTCTAGGTTGTTGACTTGAGACCTTTTGTTATTTCCAGTTAGAAGCATTCAATGTTATAATCTTCCCTCTAAACAGAAGGTTTTATTATTTACTTATTATTTAGCTGAAGATTTTTATTATTTGTTAGATTTTATTATTTTTTATGTATTATTCAAAATATAGGGACTGGGGATGCAACGCTGTGGTAGAGTACTTGTCTAGCAAATACATACACAGAAGAGGGAGTACTGGGGATTGAACTCAGGGGCACACGGCCACTGAGCCACATCCCCAATCCTGTCTTGTATTATATTTAGAGACAGRGTCTCATTGAGTTGCTTAGCACTCGTGATTCTCCTGTCTYAGCTTCCCAAGYAGCTGGGATTACAAGCWTGCATCTTTCTTACTGGTGTCTAGTATAATTCCATTATATTTGGGAAACATGATTATAATTAAGTACAATGCTCATCTCTCTGACACATTTCTGTGTCAATATCATGAGCATTTCTTGCCCATGGTAAAAACTAAAATATTCTGATTGGTAATAGAAATGACARTGATAGTGAGGTATAGTGATACATGCCTATAATCCCAGCGGCTTGAGAGGCTGAGGCAGGATGATAGCAAGTTCAAAGTCAGTATCAACAATTTAGTGAGACA